ATGCTGGAACTTTCTTACATCAGTCTTCTCCCATTACCAGTTTATGTGGCCATTGTGGGTTCTCTGCTGTTGTCTATAGGCGTCTTCCTCAGGGGATTCTTCAACATGGCTACTCCTGAACTTCCGGTGTTGCACTATCGGGAATCATCGTTGAACTCTCACATTTTGAGTAAGTGGGAAATAATCGTTCTTAACTCTTATTATTTCCTGGCACCCCCCCCCCCCCCTCTTTTCCCTTGAGGGATTAAAAAGCTTCATTGTCAACGGGGTGGGGGGGGGGACCTCTTGCCCCCTCCTCCACCCCTACCCCACAAGCAGAATGTAAAAGGCACACAATTAGGAGTTTGCTGACGGTTGCATTTATCGCAACCTCTCTGTAAACCACAATACAGCGTGCCAACCGCCCCTTTAAAAGCAAACATAAAAGAATAAGAAAATGTGAAGAAGAAGAAGAAGAAGAAGAAGAAGAAGAAGAAGAAGAAGAAGAAGAAGAAGAAGAAGAAGAAGAAGAAGAAGAAGAAGAAGAAGAAGAAGAAGAAGAAGAAGAAGAAGAAGAGAAAGAAGAAAAAGAGAAGAAGAAGAAGAAGAAGAAGAAGAAGAAGAAGAAGAAGAAGAAGAAGAAGAAGAAGAAGAAGAAGAAGAAGAAGAAGAAGAAGAAGAAGAAGAAGAAGAAGAAGATGAAGAGGAAGAGGAAGAGAAAGAAGAAGAAGAAGAGGAAGAGGTAGAAGAAGAGGAAGAGAAAGAAGAAGAAGAAGAGGAAGAGGTAGAAGAAGAGGAAGAGAAAGAAGAAGAAGAGGAAGAGAAAAAAAAAGAAGAAGAAGAAACAGGGAGAAAGTAGTAGGTGCAGATCAAGTACAATTGAGAAATGCGATGTTTTTACTTGACGGACAGTCAAGTAGACAGACGAAACAAAAAGAGACACGGAAACAGGCATACACAGTACTAGGCAAGCTGTGAGGCACAAGATAAACGCAACCAGACAAATGCATGAGTAGACAGACAAGGAGAGACAGACAACTAGACAGGGACATCTTAACCCATAGGCAATATGGGCACTGACCCGGCAGCTCAACTAGCATAACGACCCTATGTTAATCTCTGCGTGCGTGCGTGCGTGCGTGCGTGCGTGTGTGTGTGTGTGTGTGCGTGCGTGCGTGTGCGTGTGTGCGTGCGTGCGTACGTGCGTGTGTGCGTGTGTGTGTGTGTGTGAAGTGACTTGCAACAGATACAAATATATTTGACGTTAAAGTTAATTCTATGTAATATAAAATTGAACTTGTATTCCCCCTTTTTAACCTCCCCATCCCCCACACCCGCCATTTTGTTTAAGTGCTAATGTACCAAAAATATGTTTAAAATTATCGACTATTTATATTTCATTCCTGTGAGTAGTTGTCGAAGGGGCCACAGCATACTAGTTTACCCAGAGGTCCATAATTCTGTTAAGACAGCCCTACCCCCAGAGACAGACTTGACAGAGACAGACAGAAAGCAGAGTTTGAAAAAAAACGGTTTAAAGTTAACGAATGATGTGACGATTTTAACACCTCATCTGCACAGTTTAAAAGCGGTGTAACCAGTGTTGTCACTTTTCTTTGACAAAAAACATCCAAAAAACAAAGTCAAAAAATATCTTAAAAACATCTAAATTTGCTTTGACAATATCTAGAAAAAAAGCATCCAAATGGAAAGAGTCACAAATTACATAGCAATTGATATTACTTAGCCTACAGAATCATGTCCTCATCTTTAATGAAGTCTGCCTTACAAGATCCACAGGATAAACTTAGCTTAGATGATGAAGTTGAAGCTTCAGATCCAAAATGACTCTGGTATGCTTTAGCTGTTCCAATTTCTTTTAATACCCAGTCAGGGAGCTGATAAGTGGAACAGCCTTTTCCTACTCTTATCAGGCCGAATTTGATTGTCAAGATAGCATTTAAGAGGTCAAATTTCATTTTTGTTGTCTCTCTCTCTCAGGTTAGATTTGATAAATTCACTCCAAATGTAAAACATCTAGAAAACATCTACCATCTAAACGTCAAAAACGCCATCTAAATGCAAGGGAAAACATCTAAATCTGAATGTAAAAAATCCAAAGTGGCAACACTGGGTTTAACCACGACCCACGGTTGTCGCGCAAAAAAACTGGTGTGTCCAGTTGTGTGCAGTTTACGACATTGCTCGCTCTTGTATTTCCGGTTAACCTGAGTGTTGCTACGGCCAAACATTTGTTGCTCTAAACAGGCTAGGTTACGCTTCATTAGCACCATATAGCACAAATCAACTGTAACTATCTTCGTATCTGATCCTTAAGCCCCCCTCCCTTCCCCCCCCCCTCCCAACACACACATACCCATTCTTGAAAAAAACTGAAAAGTGCTCTGTGCTGTGCCCCTCCTCTATTACTTAGAAATTCTCTATTCAGCATTCATTTAACCTGATCTCCTCACCTTTACCTTTGAGAGATCGTTATTTGGGTTATGTTTATTTTTTTCTT